ATGGCCGGTTTCCTGAGGAACTCCTTTGAGGAAGAAGGAGTGGGTTCACAAACCTCAGCTCAGTTTATTTATCAGCCTTGAGCTGTTTTTTCCTTTTACAGACTTTGCTGAACGTCTCCTCAATCCTTGGTTCAATTTTGTAAACATTAATGCATGTAGGAAGACAAAGAAAATCAATATGGCATGTTAATAAACAGTTCAACTAGTTGTTTTGAAACAGCAGTCAGAATGAGGAAGTTCGGACAGTAAGGAGTCATTGCAGGCATTAACTGGTCATGTGAATGTCATGTTACACAACAGTTTGTTCCCGTTCCAAACTCATTATTCAGCATGTTCAAGCCGTCCAGCACCTGATTTTATATGGAACTGGATTAAAGTATAACATATTAGCGTCGAGTTTTGGCTTTGATCGTTGTGGGGTCAGACATTATTAATACTGATCTCCTGGGGCATTTTGTTACCTTCATAAGGACATATTTTATAATCACCCTTTTAAATGGGTGTGTGTTTTTCTGTTATGCAAACAATTTATTAACAATTTAACTGTCTTTTTAATAAATTATATATCTCTGAAAAAATTTAAGAGACCAGTTGAACTGTTATTTAGATTTTTTCGGTATGAGTTTGAGTAAAATGTTAATATTTGTTTTATTCTTTAAAGGTCTAAGAACTTTTCTCCCAAATATCAAATTAAAATTTTCTCATTTTCTCAGAAATTGTTTTTTTCTGGAAAATCCCAAATGGACATCATGTTCATTTGTTGTGATTTGGAAATCATTATTATTCAGCCATATTGCTGGTATTATTATTATTTGTTTATTATTATTATTATTTTAAATTCTGAAGTTGGTATTGTGATATTTATAAATCAAAATAAACATGTCTGATTTTTTTTCAGCAAAAAAAAAAAAAATGTAAAAAAACAAAATTTCTGTTTTAAAATTAGGAAAAGGCATCAGTAATCAGGAGTTTAAAAATCAGTAATTAAAAAAAACTTTAAGTTGTATCCTGAGAAAATATTGTCTATAAAGTGGTCTTATTTTATAGCTGTACCTAAACAGGAAAGTTTTAAATAGTAGAACAGCAATCGTATAATGAAAGTATTGTTGAATGTTGCTCTTGATATTGTAATTATTATTATTGTCAATAAATAGAACACATATAAATGCATATGGGGAAATGAATGGTATCTCGTTATCTGGTTACACAGATAAACATGTCTCTTCATCAAATTAGTCTCTCCAAGCTTCCCACAGGTCATTTCTGGAAGATCATCGGATTTTAAAAGACATTCTTTTTGTTATGAATTTTTCATTTAGCCCTCCATCAAAATGTTTTTTTTAGTGTAGCCTTTATTTGGTGCAGGCATAAATAGTCACTGACAAAATAAAATCAAAGCTTTTTAGGTTGCTAATTAGGTAATGTTTTTGCCTCTGCAACTGGTATTTAGTCACATATTTAAATACTTAGATTGGTGTAAAAGAATATATATTTTTAATTTCTTAATCAATGTTGTAAAAATGTTATCATCTAATTAAAAACATGAACAAGCCCCTTGAATTAAATACAACAGTTCAATCTAACCTGCAGTCCAACTTTGTTTTGGGCTTTAGCAAAGTATATAAATATTTTTACAGATTGATATTTTTCTGATCCCATAACTCTGTGGTTAGTTGTTTTGGAAAATACAAACAGACGTTTTAATATAATGTTAACCAGTACTTTCTATGTGAATTTATGTTTTAAGATTTTACTGCAAATCTCACATCCATAAAGCTTTAATTGCTCATATATATATATATATATATATATATATATATATATATATATATATATATATATATATATATATATATATATATATATATATATATATATGTATATTAGTTCTCGAAATTTTGCATCCTCAAATTTTATCTATGCGACTTCAAAATATATTTAGGAGCATTTGTGCGAGTGCATATAATTGTTGTTGTGCAACCAATTTTCACCGCAAAATGTTCACCACATGCGCGGAATTAGGAGGTATTCATGCATTAAGCATCTTTGCACCTAAAAACACCCAACGCAGCACGTCAGGAATGGTTTAAAACAGATGACTTGTCAACTTGCTGCTGTAAACGAAGCCCGCAATGCTTGTCCTGCCTTCAAGCTCTTCTTATTGGCCCACTGCGCTAGAACAGAACGCGAATGGAATGGTTAATATTAAGTTAACATAACAAGTTGGGGGATATTTAACTGTCCATGAGGTAGATGGCCTGAGGAAAGAAACTTTTCCTGTGTCTGGCTGTTTTTGTGCTTGGTGCTCTGAAGCGCCGACCAGACGGTAACAGTTCGAACAGGTAGTGTGCTGGGTGTGATTCATCCAGAGTGATTTTGTGAGCCCTTTTACTCACTCTGGACGAGTACAGTTCTTGAAGTGTAGGAAGGGTAGTGCCTGTGGTTCAAACAATTACATATATAAACAAACGCACCATTACTAGAGCAACTGGATTTATTTAGATGTTTTCCTCCTATTGAGGATGTCAATTATTTCGCAAAAGTCTTTAATGTTTAATGTCTTTCTCCTTTTTTGAAACATCAAATCATTAATTGATTAATTCTGTAGTGTATAGTAGGCTGGTCTGTCACCTCTGTTTAACCTCATTTCTGCGCCTCATCCTGAAATATGTCTCCTCGTTACTGTGTCTCCATCTGTCAGCTGCTTTATGAATTAGTGATGGAGGTGATAGGCGACGAGCAGGTAGAGTGTGCTGTCTGTGCCATTGGTCAGCTGATATCTGTGTCAGTGGTGCAGAAACTGTTGTGTACACCATGATTTTATATAGAATTCCCTTTAATGTGCGATATGACTATAAAGTGATCATAAACGAATATTTTCAGAATTCAAATAAGCAGTATTCCATACGTCGGGACCTAACAAGTGGATACTATTATCGCAATAACAATAAATTTGTGATATATGGTGCAGATTTAGTCTGTGGCTATGAATGCCTGTCTGACTTTTGTCAAAAGATGGAGGGGGTTAAAAATGCACTATACAGGAAAAACCCTGTTTGTTAATAGAATTTTCTTTTTAAGAAGTTGTTTTCTAAATGAAATGTAACCCTTTGCTTAGTTGACTAGTTTGGGTTTCATTTCTGCAAACTGTATTATGGTAATTACATCTGAAAGAAAATGACTCCTTCCTTCTTTCTTTATGATTTAAAGTGAGAAACCCTCATTGTTTTGCATTGCATTTTGCATGCACATCATAATTAAAGGGAAAGTTCACACAAAAAAAATGCTCACAATTTACGCAAACTCAAGTGGTTCTTAATGTCTATGAACTGCTTTCTTCTGTTGAACACAAAATAATATTTTCCAAGGAATGTTGGGAAAAAGCAGCCATTGACATCCATATAGGAGCGCATATGAAAGTTAATGGTTGTTTTTTATAAACGTTTTTCAGAATGTCTTCTTTGGTGTTCAACAGAAGAATGAAACTTAAACGGGTTGGAACAAGTGGACAATTTGGACAATTTTCATTTTTGGGTGCACTATCCCTTTAAAGGTTTACATTAAGTCACATTTTTGGAGTGGTCCAATCCTGTAAGCTTATTTATATCTAGATGTATTCATCTTATTCTAAAATGTGGAAGTGCGCTCGTTTTTCTGATTTGTTTTAGAACTTCTGATTCAGTCGCATATGGGAAAAATGGCTAGGAATAATAAACAGCTGAAAACAGTCAATTAAATTGCTCTACAAACAAGTGTGTCCATGACTATACAGACAAAGTAGAATAACATAAGAATAAAATATTAGTTTTCAACGTCAAGCTGCCAATTTTTTAATGTTTGATAATAAATGTTTCTTGACCAACAAGTCATCATATTTGAATAATTTTTAAAGGATAATATAACAAAGAATACATTTCACAAAAAAACAGTTATTATTTTAATTTTTAATCATGTTTTTCAATATAAAGGGCACCTATTTTACCCTTTTACAAGATGTAAGATAAGCCTTTGGTGTCTCCAGAATGTATCTGTAAAGTTTCAGCTCAAAATACCCATCTTCTAGAATTTGCCCATTTTGGTGTCTGAATACAGTGTAGCTGTTTTTGTCGCCTTTGGCTTTAAATGCAAATGAGCTGCTTCTCCCTACCCACCGTTCCAATGTACGTGTCTGCTTCTCATCATGCGTTACGTCAGATAAACAGCAGTCAGTGACATTACAGCACATTAGTCAAAAATACCAATTAAGTTTATTTCATGTACTTGTGGTAGAGTTTATTCAAGCCTTTCTGAAATGATGAGTCTCAAAGAAATGCGGTTTGCAGTACACGCACACACATATATGCGCGTTTACTGACACCACGCAGCTGTGGTGATGGTATCGTATATCTTGGTGATTTGTATTGCGTGTATCTTGGTGATTGTAATACATAGCAATTTTACGTCTTTATTACAAACATGCTATGTTTTTAAAACGTTTTATTTATGGAGTTTATAAAAACCACAGAAAGTGGTAACAAATGATTTAATCCCAGTTTATTTGAAGAAAAAAATACATATATATATATATGTATATGTATATATATATATATATATATATATATATATATATATATATATATATATATATATATATATATACACACACACACACACACGTGTTATTATAGAAACATGGCACCTGTTAATCAATTCAGTGGGCGGGGAAAACCGCACTCCTATGTCACGTTGTGGTGGGCCTCAAAATCACTGGGATTTGGCTCCTATTTTAACAATAGGATATTTTTAAAAAAAGAGACTTGTTGGGTTCATATCACTCCAATATGACAGTGGACACACTATATTTACAAACAGTTTAGTCCAAACAGCTAACAAAACTTGATTTTCATCATAGGTGCCCTTTCATGCATTTGTGGTCTGCTAGAATGTGCATAAGAGATGTATTTTAAAGCCCGAAGTCATCCTACAACGTTACCCATTTTTTTCCCCGGTTTGTCCTGCAGGAATGGGGTGAGCGTGGAGGGGGCGACACACAAGCAGGTGGTGGACCTGATCCGGGCTGGAGAGAGGGAGCTGGTGCTGACCGTGCTCTCCATCCCGGCGCAAGAAGCAGATGGACTCGACACCAGCGAAGAAGGTGCAGTTCAGCCCAATTACGACTACAGCGACAAACAGGCTGTCCCCATTTCAGTCCCCACATACAAACACGTGGAGCAGCACTCGGAGAAGTTTGTGGTGAGTTGCACTGAATGATTTATTTAAAAGAACAATATGCGTTACGTAGTATTATGTTATATATATGAATCTACAAAAGCATGTACTGTTAAAGTCAAAATTATTAGTCCTCCTGTGATTTTTATTTACATTTTTTCTTTTTTTTTTAATATTTCCCAAATGATCTTTAACAGAGCATTTTTCATAGTATTTTCTATCAGTTTTTTTTTCTTTTGGAGAAATACTTATTTGTTTTATTTCAGATAGAATAAAAAAGTTTTAAATTGTTTAAAAGCCACATGCATATTATGTTAATACAACCATTTATTTTGGATGTTATTAATCATGATTAATCATTTGACAATACAGATTTTTTTAAATCTTTTATCTGTTAGTGCTAATATTCTTTTTTTTTTTTTTTTTTTCTATTTTAGGTGTATAATGTGTATATGTCCGGCAGACAGCTGTGCTCGAAGCGCTATCGAGAGTTTGCGATACTTCATCAGAACCTGAAGAGAGAGTTCTCCAACTACACTTTCCCCAAGCTGCCAGGAAAGTGGCCTTTTTCGCTGTCTGAACAGCAGCTGGACGCTCGCAGGAGAGGATTAGAGGAATACATGGAGAGAGGTGAAAATACTCCAAAATACCTGAATTAACACTAAACATTTCAACATAAAATCATTTAAGTGAGGTGTTCTGTGTTTAAAAGTCTTTCTGCGTTAAGTACAACTAATTAAGATTCACTAAAACGTGTTATTTCAGAGTTTTTTTGTTAAATCCGTAAGTTTGTCATAACTTTAAGATTTGTTTTAGCATTTAAACTATATATATACAGCTTATGTGCATTTATAGTGTGTGTGTGTGGTCCTGCTAACTATATAAACACCAAAATGAAAATGATGTTATTAATTGCTCACTCAAATTTAGTTTTACTTGAAACTGATGTTGTGTTCACACAAAACTTAAAAAGCACTGCCTCACTTGTTTAAGTTTTTTGCCTCACAAATTTTCCACTCAAGTTCATTTTTTGAAGATTAAGGCGAATTCATGTAATAAGAGTTTATGGCAAAAGTGACAGTGTGACACAAAAGTCAGCTCACTTAGGGGCGCTCAATATTGACAAAATTAGTTATACTTTATTATTTTAGGTGCAGATACTTTTTTATCGTTTATGCTGATTTTCGTTGATACACCAATCCACCAGTAGGTGGCGACAAGTCATCCTTAATTATAATTTATTTTTTAATAAACAAGCAAGGGGCGGCTGAGTGGTTAGCACTGTCGCCTTGCAGCAAAAAGGTTGCTGGTTTTAGTCCTAGCAGGGCCAGTTGGCATTTCTGTGTGGAGTTTGCATGTTCATCCTGTGTACCGGTGCTCTGGTTTCCCCCACAGTTCAAAGACATGTGCTATAGGTGAATTCGATTAACTAAATTGCCCATAGTGTATGAGTGTGCATGTGAATGAGAGAGTGTATAGGTGTTTTCCAGTACTGGGTTGTGGCTGGAAGGGCATCCGCTGCGTAAAACATATGCTGGAATAGTTGGCGGTTAATTCCGCAGTGGTAACCCCTGATGAATAAAGGACTAAGCTGAAGGAAAATGAATGAATGAATAAACAAAGCAAGTGACGCTTCATAAATGGGACATTGAATTGCAGACTCACTCAATTTGGTCAAAATTAGATTCATTCAGTAACAGAACAATGTGGCGATGTTCAACGAATGTTCTGCCCTGTCTGGAACTCTTTTCATTACCAAAACAGACAATATTTTATCTAAAATGTAACTCGCAGAATATTAACTTCTTGTTGTTTTATTTTTTATCTTGATCCCTTCAACAAAATACACTGAAAACTAAACTTGGTTGTAATACCAGTTATAGAAGTAATTTGTCCAATTAGTGTTTTTATATTTGAATGTTTTAAGTTACATTTGAGATTAATTTTATTTACTGAAAATGTTTTTAAATCAAAATAAATAGATTATAAGGATGCACCGTATTTTGTAGCAGCTTTCACACCAGACTTGGAAAGCGATGCGCTATGAAACCCATTCATTTGATTTATACATCATGATACATTTTCACGTCCGTTCACCAAGGCTGCATTTATTTTGATTATATCACACAAGAAAAAAAAATGTGACCATGGACCACAAAACCAGCCTTAAGTGTCATTGTTTTTTTGAAAGTTGCGTTCAGGGTGTTTTGTTCAGTGGTCTGTGCAGTGAACCACCAGGAAATGTTTTGGGTTTTTTGACACTTGTTCACAGTCAGTTTGTGGTACATGCATCAGATATCATCATATACTTCTAACAAACTCTTTACTAAACCCCCCCACCCTCTTTCTCTCTTCTCAGTGTGCTCAGTGCGGATCATAGGTGAGAGTGACATTATGCAAGAATTCCTGTCTGAATCAAATGAGGTAAGTACATATTGGCAAACACTGTAATTCTGTGTGAATGTGGTTTTGCTTAACAATGCTTTCTACGCGTGTCTTCTATTAAAGAACCACAACGGCATAACGGATGTGGAGCTGCGAATAGCACTGCCTGATAAAACTACAGCCTCAGTGAGGGTTCAGAAGAACAGCACCACTGATCAGGTTTACCAGGTAAAACTTCATGCAAGTCGTTCTTTACTTGACTTTTATGGTCTGAAATTCATATTTGACACTGGCATATAACATATAGTTACAATTTACATACACTTAAAGTTGTTAGCCCTCCTGAATTATTAGCCCATGTATATTTCCCCCCATTTTCTGTTTATTGAATGTATTAGTTTTATTAACTAATTTCAAATATTTTTTTCAGGGTGTCCGCAGGGTCTTAAAAAGATCTAAAATCACAGATATATAGTGAATATCTGAATAATATCTAGTTAAAATATTATGTAGTGTCATCATGGTAAAGATAAATTCAAGACTTTTAAAGACTCTTTTAAGGCCATTAAGAATTACATTTTAGACTTACACATGGCTAAACACTAAGGATTTTTGATAATGACCCAATTGGGCAAAAGTAATAGGAAATAAATCAAACATACTTTTTTTTTTTATCACATATTTGAATATGTTGAAACGAGAGATTTCCAGTGAGTGGTACAGTACGGTATGGTGTGGGTCACCTTTATCAGGCTTGTGTTGCCACTGCTAAAAGGGTACCAATGGTACTTTCTGGTGTGGTGTACGACAGAAAGGTTCAGTCAACGTCATTTTCGCTCGAGAAAATGTCTACAGTAAAGCTGTACGGGTCATTCACATATCATGAGAGGCACTTCTCACAAGACAGATGCTTTATACACATAAATACTTCTGTATAAATGTTTATTACTAACTTTTCTATTAACATAATTTTATTATAGCTTCAGATCAATGACAGTGCGAAATAGCCTACTGTAACGTCTGCAACTATATAAAATAAATTAATAAATGCAACATATATGATCACATACAGACTCTTACGATCTCTGATTTGTGGCGCAGTAGGTAGTGCTATCACCTCATAGCAAGAAGGTCGCTGGGTCGCTGGTTCGACCCTCGGCTCAGTTGGCGTTTCTGTGTGGAGTTTGCATGCTCTCCCTGCATTAATAAAGGGACTAAACCAACAAGAAAATGAATGAATGCATTATTCAAGATGCTAGTATTCAACTTAAAGTGAAATTTAAAGGCTTGATTACGTTTATTAGGCAAGTTAGGGTAATTGGGCAAGTCACTATTTAAAGACGGTTTGTTCTGCAGACTGTCGAAAAAAAATATAGCTTAATAGGGCTAATAATATTAAATTAAAATATTGTAATTATATTCAAATGTTTTTTAAAAAACTGCTTTCATTCTAGCTGAAATAAAACAAGTCTTTTTTCTAGAAGAAAAAATATTATAGGTAATACTGTGAAAAATGTCTTGCTTTTTTAAGAATAATTTGGGAAATATAAAAAAATAAGGAAAAAAATCAAAGGTGGGCGAATCATTTCGACTTTTGACTACAGTACATGTCTCTAAAACATATGAAATACACTTTACCCCACTTTGTCCAAGGTAAAAACAGGGTTCCCACTGGTCATGGATTTTTTGATTATCATGGATTTTTAAAAGGTCTATTACAGACATTAGAAGTAATGAATTTTACAGGCTTTTTTGTCATGTAAAAATTTGAACTTTTCTTCTTTTGTCAAAATGTCTTTCTGCGCATTTATTTACATTGCTATAGTTGATCCATTTTTTTCGAGCTAATTTATCACTTTCCTGCTTGACAAACAAATTTATTTAAAAATATATGATTTTATGCTTAAATGTAATGGAAGTAAATGAGACTGGAAGACACATTTAAATTACAATGCTACATGAGATATAGGATAGAAAGGGTAATGAAATTTAGCTTTTTAGTCTTTAGAAAGTTTGGGTAAAGTCAGTGAATTTGGCATTCGGATTAGAATTAAAAGTCAAATGAGGCACAATATACAGTCCTAAGCATAAAGGAATATTTTCAATGAATAAATAAATATTTTTATCCATTTCTTCAATTCAATATATTGTTGCGCATTTAAACCAGGGTTCACCAAACTTGTTCCTGGAGGTCCGGCGTCCTTTAGATTTTAGCTCCAACCCTAATCAAACACACCTGAACAAGCTAATCAAGGTCTTACTAGGTATACTTGAAACACCCAGGCAGGGGTGTTGAGGCAAGTTGGAGCTAAACCCTGCAGTGACACCAGACCTCCAGGAACGAGATTGGTGACCCCTAATTTAAACAAAACGGTTTTATTAAACAGTTATATCTATTAAAATAAGAGTTTGAAGAATAGAAACATTATCAATTTAAATTCAACTAGTTATTACAAGAAATCAATCAACAAAATTTTATATCTCTCTTTTTTTTTTCTCCTCTTTATTAACATTTTATTTAATATTTATCGCTAACATATTAATTTGGCTGTACTCCTTTTTGAATTGTAATAATATTGTTCATTAGTTCCGGTTTTGCTTTTGGTACTGATTTGTGCTGAGCATTGTTTATATGTTTATGCCTATATATGTGCTCAGATTTAGTCTTCATTATGTTCATACCACATTCATACCAACTCATTCATACCATTCATATGTTCATACCAACTCTTTTGATCTGTTTTTCAGGCTCTTGTTGTGAAGGTTGGGATGGACAGCATGATGGCCAGTTATTTTGCTCTTTTTGAAGTTATTAACCATTCGTTTGGTGAGCACTCGCTTGGTTTATATTGTGTATATACATATCAAATGTATAGCAATGCCACAATGTTTACTTCCACATACACTAATGTATTTGTTGATGGTATAGATAACACCACTTAACTATGAACAACACATTTATTCAGCAATACTATATCTCATATGTAAACTAAACATGCAGTATATTAATGTGTTAATAAATGAATTAGTTAACACTTTAGTTATCACAATACCAGTCAATTTTGACCACTGTGTGGGGACATTTTTTTGGTCCCCATGAGGGAAAACGGCTCATAAATGACATAATGGGGTATTTTTTAAATTTGAAGATAATTTCCTGTGAGTGTGGGTTTATGGGTAGAGGGATATAATATACTGTATTAAAATCATAATGTCTATGGGAAGTCCCCATAAAGACAGCTGTACGTGAGTATGCGCTTGTGTGTTATGAATCAGTTTATGGCTTGAAGGGAAGAAAGCATTTTTACATTCACTGAGGAAAGCGTTTGACCTTGTTATGAAGTCAAAAGTAATTGAGCTTATTATTCTTATTAAGGACGATTAAACTGCTGTTTTGTGAGTCCTTTTTAATCAAACGAATAATGTTTGACTCGGCTGCCAAGCTCTGATAAGGTGCTGCTGAACCCAGTAAAGACATTTTTCCTTGTTAATAGCAAATTTCTGTGTAAATCTTTAGTAAAACTGTTCTTGGCTATTTTATAGAAGAATGTTTTTGTTTGTAGTTTTGTAACGGCTGAATGGTGAATAAATATTCACTGTGAATAAATATTCAGTGCCTTTTAACTTTCGTACATGGAAGGAGTTGTAGCAGAAGAGTTAAATGTGTGAATTCTGCACTATCCTTTTGATAGTAGACTAAAGAAATCTACTGTAAGTTGACCTGATCATTAAGTCAATGAGTGAGTTCAAACTCATCAGATGAATCATTTAATCAAGAGCAGTTGATTCTTTGAAAATATTCAAGGAATGAGTTTTTAATTTTTGAAATATCGGTGCTTAAATATACACCATTGTTCTGAAGCTTAGGTTTGGTAGGTTATTTATTATTAGAGATGTATTGATACTAACCGGCTGCACAATATATTGTTTCAGCATCGATATCACAATGTACACATCCACAGTAGTCACTTCGTGGCATGCCCAATGTCCAGTTATGATTAGTTGATCAGTTACAATAGTTTGTCATTGCGAAGTTTGGTAACGCTTTAGAATAACTATCCGTTATAACGAGTAGATCAGTAATGAACTGTTAGTTAATGGTTTATAAATCACTTGTTAAATAATAGTTAATAGTTTGTTAATTATTTATAACTGTGCCTTATAGATAGCCAGTAGACTACTTACAAGCTGTTAGTTAACAAGTTATAAATGACTTGTTAACTGTATTTTAATGGTTTCTAACTGTACCTGATAAATTAGTAATAGATCATCAACAATCAGTAAATTACTTACTAAAGACTTGTTAAGTGTCAGTTTATAGTTTATAGATGCTATTGGGATGTTATTCTAGTTGCAACTATTCTTCATTTATTATTGGTCGGAGCACTCGCTCTGATCCCCTGGGCTCTGCGTTGGTTGGGGAAATTCCAAATTGAACCAAAACAAACCATTTCAATTATCTTAAAATTAGCAATGAAAATTTAGGAAATGCAACCTGCAGAATCAGCGAATTAAAAAAATACATTTTTATTCTTTGAACAATATTTTGAATGTAAATTTTAAGTGTAAGTGTACAGTAATGCCCTTTGTGGAACTGCATACTGCTTAATTTAAAATGAATGGTGCTTCAAGTCCTTGAATCTGCTGTTCGTGAAAGCGTGGGCACCCTGTAAAAATTTCTCAGCTGATACAATCTGCCTTTTTATACTTCATTCCTATTTAATAATTATTTTTGAAAGAACTGAAGGTTACACTTTCTTTAAGGTGCCCTTTTCACAGTGTAACTATTCATTTAACTACTGAGTAGCATTAAATCATAACATGCACTTACTATTTGGTCAGGGTCATGTTGAAGATTAGTCGCATGTAATTATGCCTAATTAATTATATTTATGATAATAAGTACATGGAGTGTGTGTAAGTTCTACCGAAATGCACAGAACATCTCTCCATTTCAGCAAATAGTTTCAGAGTATCTGGTCTGTCATAAACAGAAAACTCATTTAGAAATATCAAACTTAACTCAATAATGAAATTGTGAAGAATAAGTTTTCTTAAATTCTTTAAGATACATGAGTTTCATCCTGCTAAATCTTACATACATCATGAATTTGAATCGTATTCCACCTTCTTTTGATTACATTTGTATTCTTTTAAGAATTATTTTATTTGTATTTTATCTTTTTTATTGTTGTTTATGTAAAGCACTTTGAATTACCATTGTGTATGAAATGTGCTATATAAATAAACTTGCCTTGCCTAAGGTAATATAATCAGCCTTGATTATCATCTGATGACCAACAGTGTAGAAATGTGCCTTAATTGTTTTGACTCATGCGTCAGTGCATTTCTATTTTTAATGTTTTTGAGTCTCTTTTTATGTTTTATGTAAAAGGATTTGAAGCTGAAACTGACTCATAAATTACATTTCAAATATATTAAAATGTAAACCAGATCATTTATATTGAAATAATAGATGTGACCCCAGACTGTCTTATCCTCTTAAGGCCCAAGGTGTTTTTTTACATGCATTTTTTATTTCTCTTTGCTATTTGGGCTTATTGGAACCTAATTACAATAAAAATCTAAGTGTGATGTACTTTTACAGAAAAATGATTCTAGTTTTAAATGGTCCGAATTTACATAAAACACTTTTTCCAGATTGTTTTTAATGCATATTTTACATAGTTTTTTTTTTTAACTTGCTTTGACTATCAGAGAGTAAAAACAACTTTTTTTTCTCATTTTGGACAGTTAAAATAGTTGCAGGATGACACTGTAGGTCTGTAACAAAATAAAAAACATTCAAAAATGTGCTGTCTCAAGTCCTGGGAGGTTAAGTTGCATAGGTGTATACTTTTTGGTTATAGTCAAAAATGCATTGTTCCGACTTGAAGCTGCATTTGTTTTTGTTTTTGTTTTGTTTTGTTTTGTTTTTTTGATAAAAATTACAAATAAGAAAGTGAAATGTGACCCTGGACTCCAAAACCAGTCATAAGTGGGTTTTTTTTTTTTTAATTTATTGAGATTTATAACATCATCCAAAAGCTGAATAATAAATAAGCTTTCCATTGATGTATCATTTGTTATGGCAATGTTTAGCTGAGATATGATCAATTACTGAAAGAAATCTGTCTAAATGAATGATGCACTTTACTATTAAAAATTGAGGACATTTAAGATAATGTTCCATGAAGCCATTTAGTAATACTAAATAATAATAAGTTATAATTATAATAAAAAATTACCATTTGGACCCATAACGTGTTTTTTTTGGCTACTACCAAAAATATACCTATGCAACATAAGTCTGTCTGAGGTCACATATATTATTCATTCATTCATTTTCCTTCAGTTTAGTCCCTTATTTATCAGAGGTCACCACAGCGGAATGAACCACCAACTATTTTGGCATTTGATTTACTCAGGGGATGCAACCCAGTACTGGGAACTTATACCGCATGTCTTTGGACTGTGTGGGAATCCGGAGTATCCGGAGGAAACCCACGCGAATACGGGGAGAACATGCAAACTCCTCATAGAAATTTCAACTGGCCCAGCCAGGACTTGAACCAGCGACCTCCTTGCTGTGAGGCGACAGTGCCAGCCACTGTGTCGCCTGTCACATATATTATTTCAATGTAAAATATTTTCATTTAAATATATTTGAAAATGTAATTTTTGAGTCTGTTTCAGCTTAAGATTATTTTAATGTTACATTACTTGCTACATTATCACCTGAAGGTGCATAAATGAACAGTAAATGATCATTTTTTGGGGTCAGCTATAATTCTGTTCCTCACACAAACCTGTAAATCTGTTGTTATCAAAATGTTTTACTTATGTAAATCGCCTACTAATTATTTCTTATCAATCTCACCATTTCTTCCTAAAGTGCGCAAACTGGCTCCTAATGAGTTTCCACACAAGCTGTATGTCCAGAACTACACCTCAGCGGTTCCCGGGACGTGTCTGACCATGCGCAAGTGGCTCTTCAGCACACAGGAAGAGGATCTGCTGCGGGACAACCCTCTCGCCCTGCACTACTGCTTCCATCAGGTGTCAATTCTGTCTTTTACAGCGGACAAATGTCTCCTGAAGTGCCTTAACCCTTGTTAACTGTTCAAATTGATGACCCTTTCGCTAAGTTTGGGGCTGTTTTTGCCCCGTTGACGTCCATTATAATGATATTTTTGGATTGCAAAGCCATGACACCATATAACCATGCATTCTTGATTAATAGTTTTTTTTCCCTGTTTAAAAATTTAATTAATTAAATTTTTTTTGTGAGGGGAAAAAAAAAAATTTGAATCGTAAATCAATTTGTTTTTGAAAAAAAAAAGGATTTTTTTAAAAAGGCCATATCGCCCAGCCCTACTTTGAATATCTATTCTATTGACTTTTGTTATCTATGGAGGATGAGGGAGCTCTCTGATTTCAATTACTATCTTAATTTATCTTCTGAAGATGAACAAGGGTCTCTAAGGACTGAAACAACATAACGGTGAGTAATTAATAACCGAATTTTTAGGTGAATTGACCCTTTAAGACTAGCATTGATAAAAACACATGTAGATTTAGATTTCAGAGGACTTTATGATTGATTCTTGTAGGCAAAAGCAATAAATATGAACTCTTCACCCAACACCGTAAATGCTGACTATAAACTGCACAGATGAACTTTGTACAGCTTGCGAGGTGTCTGCCTGATGCGTCATCTAATGCCACACTGTGTTTTTGTATAATGAAAGTCAGATAAGATGTCTATAAAGCAGATCCTTGAGCATATTTCATCTTATCCGCATATTATCACATTGGTCAGAGCTGCTCTTCTCTTACATTCTGTTTTTGTCGTCTTTTTTTTTTCAGGCACAGGATGATGTGAAGAAGGGATTCATTAAAGCGGAGGATAAAGCGTACCAGCTGCAAAAACTAGCAGAACAGAGAAAGATGACAACGGTCTCTTAGAATTTGTAAACCTACTGTCAGCACTGTCCTGGGCACACTTCACCTCAAAATATGAAATTAAAATACATTGTGTAAAAATCAGAGATATTTAATATACTTTTATTACATCAATCCTTCATGTTTGAAGGCAGAAAAAAATATATATATATTTTTAGAGTCAGTCATCACATACAGTGCTCAGCATATATAGTACACCCCTCACAAATCTCTCTTTTAAATTCATATTTTTAATAGGAAGCTATACAATATTATATTTGTGCATACGCACTAGATTAGTCAGTAATGAAGCCAAATCTGGAGCCCCATTTACACTGCCAGTTAATAGCGACCCAATTCTGATTTTTTTTTTTGCTCATGTGACACAGATTGGATCGGTTCTATGACCAAGTAAATGCATGCATTCGGATATTCATAGATCTGTTTCAGGCCTCCTTCATACTGTATGTGCAAATAAATTGGATATGTGACTATCATGTAAACAGGCAGATCGGATTTATTGAGGCATTCCATTTTGTTTGTCATTAAACTTGTGACAATGTGGTACTTCTCTGCAGTTTAATGACGTAGAAGGAAGTGCATGTGTGGAAAGTGGTCAGTCGCCACAATTTGCTCGCACCAGATGTGTGATCTCTCCTACCCACAAATTCCTCTGAATGGTGTCGGACACCATATATAAACCACAGGCGCATTTTAAAGTTGAACTTTGCATATTTCACAGAGCTAAAAACAAGACCGTTTCTTCCATCGTAGCTACTGTGGCTCAGATGCTAGCCTAGAGCCTGCCTTTTGCATGCGCAACGTCGTAATTTGTATGGCGAGTGTAAACATATGAACTGGATATGGGTCACAATTTTAAAAATGTGTAAACGGACAGGCCAGAAAAATCAGATATAGACAACAAATCGGAATTGGGCATCAAGACCTGGCAGTGCAAACAGGGTTCAAAAACTAGTACACCCAAATATATATTTATAGAAAAATATAAAATGCAAATTTTTTTTTTAAATGAGGAAAAATCAAGAGAAGCAAAAAAATGTAAAGATTTTGTTAAAATTTTGTAGGTTGTCTTCTTTTTTGCAATATTTTGCTTAAAATTTAATTGTATTATTTTTCAATTTCTAAATATGTTTTGTGACTAAAATATTATTTTAATAAATATATCTGTTTAACAAATTTGTTTTGCTTAAATGCACAAAAATACATTGACTATATTCATTGAGAGATATTCATTTTCAAAACGGGGTGTACTCCATTATGCTGAGCACTGTAGTGAAAATACTGTCAGCATTGTTTTAGTCATGCTTCACCTCAATATAATAACAATAAATACATTTTGTAAAAATCAGACTTATATAATACAACTTTTATTACTTTTATTCTTTATGTTCGAAGGTAAAAAAAAAACTATTATTAGAGTATTTAAAAAAATTTTTTGAAAAATTCCTTGGCATCATATAAATACTGTCAGTGTTGTCATGGTCATGCTTTACCTTTAAATAATTAAATGTTATAAATTTTGTAAAAATTAGACCTATTTTATGTAACTTTAAGCTCAATTATCCTTTATGTTCGAAGGCAAAATAAACTTTTATAAAGGTATTTTAAAAATAAAATGGGTAAAATTTCTTATTTTAATAATATAGGTATATTTTTTCCATTGCAACATTTATTTTAGTTTAATTTCCTATATATTTTCCTTCCAAATTCTAATTACTGGAAGGAAAATATCATTATCATCAATCATTATTCTTGCATTTTAGTAATTCATTAATTAATTTTGGTGTGAAATGTGTCCTGTACAGCTTACCTTTCATTATCACAAAGCAAAATCTACATTACCCGACAAAAGTCTTGTCGTTGATCCCAGTTTGTAAGAGCAACACGTAATAACTTGACTTTCTAGTTGATAATTTTTAAAAGTAGCAGAAGGTTGAAGCTGAATTTTTTTCTGATGAATCATCTATTGAACTGCATCCCGATCATCACAAATACTGCAGAAGACCTATTGGAACCCACATGGACCCAAGATTCTCACAGAAATCAGTCAAGTTTGGTGAAGGAAAAATCATGGTTTGAGGTTACAATTAATATGAGGGTGTGCGAGAGATCTGCAGAGTGGATGGCAACATCAACAGCCTGAGGTATCAACATATGTGCTGCCCATTACATTACAAACCACAGAAGAGGGCAAATTCTTCAGCAGAAGAGCGCTCCTTCTCATACTTTAGCCTCCACATCAAAGATCCTGAAAGTAAAGGTGCTCAAGGATTGGCCAGCCCAGTCACCAGACATGAACATTATTGAGCATGTCTGGGGTAAGATGAAAGAGGAGGCGTTGAAAATGAATCCAGAGAATATTGATGAACTCTGAAAGTTCTGCAAGAACACTTTCTTTTGCATACCAGATGACTTTATTAAGTTATTTGAGTCATTGCAGAGATGTACATTATGGATGCAGTTGTCCAAGCTAATAAGAGTTATACACCATATTCAAGTAAAGTCAGACCTTACTGTCCTATTTAAATAATTAAAATTCAAGACATCATCATATTTTATTTTGGTAAATTAAGCGTAATCTAGAGGCCTTTGCCTTTCATATGAGCCACTTCTGATATCAAATGATCAACTAAAAGTTAAGTTATTATTTGTTGTTCCTGAAACGTTGACAACAAGACTTTTGTCAGGTAGTGTATTCAAAACATTTAGTTTTAAAGTCAAATAATCTTTTGTTTCTCTATCTTTTTCAGTATCTGAGTCTCTTGCGTTCATGTGAAGGATACAATGAGGTGACATTTCCTCACTGTCCCTGTGACTCTCGGAGGAAAGGTCACGTGATCACAGCCGTCAGCATGAAGCATTTCAAACTGCACGCCTGCACAGAGGACGGCACTCTGGAGGTGAGAGAAAGATGAGCAGACTGGGTTTACTTCATTTATAGATACAGTGGAGATCCAAATTGCAAACCACTTATGAACGCATGACTTTTATTTATTTGACTTTTCCAGACATACAGTTGAAGTTAAAATTATTAGCCCTCCTGTCAATCTTTTCAAATATTTTCCAAATTATGTTTGACAGAGCGAGGAATTTTTCACAGTGTTTCCTATATTTTTTCTTCTGGACCATTTAAGGTCAATAATATCAGCCCACTTAAGAAATATTTTTTTCAATTGTCTACAGAACAAACCATCATTTTACAATGACTGGCCTAATTACCCTAGTTAAGCCTTTAAATGTCACTTTAGGTTGAATACTAGTGTCTTGAAAAATATCTAGTCAAATATTCTGTACTGTCATCATGGCAAAGATTAAAGAAATCAGTTATTAGAAATGAGTTATTAAAACTGCTCTGTTTAGAAATGTGGGGGTGCTGTAGGTAGTGCTGTCGCCTCACAGCAAGAAGGTCGCTGGGTCGCAGGTTCGAGCCTCGGCTAGATCAGTTGGCATGTCTGTGTGGAGTTTGCATGTTCTCCCTGCGTTCGCATGGGTTTTTTCTGGGTGCTCCAGTACCAGACATGCGGTACAGGTGAATTGGGTAAGCTAAATTGTCGTGTGTGTGTGTGTGTGTGTGTGTGTGTGTGTGTGTGTGTGTGTGTGTGTGTGTGTGTTTGTGTGTGTGTTTGTGTGTGTGTTTGTGTGTGTGTTTGTGTGTGTGTTTGTGTGTGTGTTTGTGTGTGTGTTTGTGTGTGTTTGTGTGTGTGTTTGTTTGTTTGTTTGTTTGTTTGTTTGTTTGTTTGTTTGTTTGTTTCCCAGAGATGAGTTGCAGCTGGAAGGGCATCCGCTGCGTAAAAAAAACATGCTGGATAAGTTGGCGGTTCATTCCGCTGTGGCGACCCCGGATTAATAAAGGGACTAAGCCAAAAAGAAAATGAATGAATGTTTAGAAATGTGTTGAAAAAAATCTTCTCTACGTTAAACAGAAATTGGGGTACAAATATACAGGGGGGCTAATAATTCAGAATTCAACTGTATATACTCTAATTTGTATCTACTCTAAGTCTTAAGGATTTTAATTGTGGTGCAACAATACAAATAGAACAGTTTTACAAAATAACCAAGGACCTTCAACAACAACAACAAAAAAATTCTTAGAAAACGAAGAGATTAAAATAATGAAAAAAGACGGTTACAACTGTCAAAATGAGTAGGAAGTGATCTTGATCCACTCTTCTTCAACAGTTTGCTCAGCAGAGTGGCTTTTTTTACCCTTAACATTATTATCAGGGCTGCATGAAATTTGCATGCTGGTTGTTTGATGAATGCAGGGAAGAAACCACTTGTCGGAGGAGGAGTTTCTGATAAATATTTGCATTCACTCAGCCATGTACCAGTAAACTTCCGCTGCAGAAAACACTTCCCAAACATGACACTTCCTCCTGAACCTTTCACTGACTTCACCTATCTTTCCCCAGTTTGACGATGAATACAGTGCTTTCCATCAGACCCAAATAAATAACTTGCGTTCACTAAAGTAACTGATTCTGCAATTTATTTATTTCTGTCATTACCACTATCTGGAATTAGTATGGTAATGAATATGTATATGGCAATGTTGATGTATTTGGTCTTGGTGGTATAGATCTGCTGCGCTGCTGCTGCTTTGATTTATTTTGGCAGAGCAAGTACAGAGACCTGCTACTGCCAGTATATACACAGACATGCTGTCTGAGAATATAACACACTGCAGCAAACATAATATATACGTAAGCCCTGTAGCAGATCTAACACAGGTAGAGCTGGGGGGGAGGAGGGTCTCCGCAGCTTGGCAGTGTAAAATGACACGGAGCATTTAAACTGATGAAGAGCAAACTCATTGGCTCCCGAGATGACAGCAACCAATCTCCTGTGCAATATAGTTAAGGACGCAGGAGCAGATTCATGGCAGAAATTTCAGTTATTTTTCCCAAAATGTAATATAATAATAATAATAATAATTCCTTACATTTATATAGCGCTTTTCTGGGCACTCAAAGCGCTTTACACAATGGGGGGGGGATCTCCTCATCCACCACCAGTGTGCAGCATCCACCTGGATGACGCGACGGCAGCCGTTTTGCACCAGACCGCACACCACACACCAGCTGATTGGTGGAGAGGAGACAGTGATGAAGCCAATTGAATATGGGGATGGTTAGGAGGCCATGATGGAAAGAGGGCAGTGGGCAGTTTTGGCCAGGATGCCAGGGTTAAACCCCTACTCTTTTCGAAGGACATCCTGGGATTTTTAACGACCACAGAGAGTCAGGACCTCGGTCATCCGAAAGACGGCGCTCACTGAGCAGTATAGCATCCCCGTCACTATACTGGGGCATTAGGACCCACACAGACCGCAGGTTGGGCGCCCCCTGCTGGCCTCACTAACACCACTTCCGGCAGCAACTTAGCTTTTCCATGTGGTCTCCCATCCAGGTACTGACCGGGCGCAGCCCTGCTTAGCTTTAGTGCGTGACCATTTGAGAGTTGCAGAGAGCTAGCTGCAATCAAAGAGAGACTATCTATTCTCTCTTTGATTTGAAGCTGTGTTTTTAACAGCAGATAGCGATGTATGCTTTACAAACAACTGTACGCTGCTTGCATTCAATTTCTTACTAATAATACCTCAACCTAAAATAATCATTAATAAATTTAGGAAGGGTTTAAGGAAAAAAGCCTTTTTGTGAAACTTGAATTTGTCGGTGACATCATAAATAAAATACTCAACAATAACCAAATAAATACAAGAGGAAAATCACCACATTTTGTAAAGCATCTGATCCTAGCCACTTTAAAGAAGACCACAGAGTCCTCTGTTTGATTTCTGTCTTTTGTCTTTGACCCCCAGAATCAGGTGATCATGTTTGAATGGTCGGAGATGCAGCGATGGGACACGGATGAGGAGGGAATGGCCTTCTGCTTTGAATACGTGCGGGGAGAAAAGAAACCTCGCTGGGTCAAAATATTCACTCCATATGTAAGTCACCTGATGATGAACATTAGCGCTGCTTTGTTTACCTGCTGAATAATGTCTGGTACAGTGTTAGTTTCCTCAATGAAAATGGCTTGACACAAACAGAAACTTTACAGGTCCGCTGCACCAGTAACAAATACAAACACGCTCCAATCTAAAGGCCTGAAAAGCCCCGCCCCCTTCAAGACACTTATTTGATGCACTTGTGCTCAACCCCTCTTACTGGCAGAGCGGTAATAAATCAAAACGCTATTGGCTGTGTCTTTTTAAAGGGGAGGAGCTACACTATGTCCCACCCTCTTTTCGTGTTTTGGTAGAAATTACGTCAAACACTGAATCAAAATGCATTGTTTCAAAGCACTTCACGGGACCTTTAATGGATAAACAGTGCAATGCAGCAGATTACAGCAGAAATGTTTTATAGCAAAAATTTTGACTACACTTTAGTGTACTTGATTAGATCAGAGCTTGCGCATTCATCACTTTCAGTCATGTTACCAGCGCAGAGGACATGTCAAGTTATTTTTCGCCTTCATTTCTAGTCTGGTTGCAAGTTTTGAACAGAAATAAGCCAGTAATGCCCTGCATGTGTGTGTGTGTTTCCAGTTTAACTACATGCACGAGTGCTTTGAGAGGATTTTCTGTGAGCTCAAATGGAGGAAAGAGGTATTAATAGCTTCCATTTCTGTTTTAGTTTCTGGAGCTTTCTTGTCATTGTTAATGAGTTTCTATTTGATATGTTAAAGGTTGAAGAGGAGGCCTCAGACAAAGGCAATAAGAACTGTAGTAATAACGGTAAGAGGAAAACCTTTTGCCCTCATTTTATCACTCACGTACACACACGGGTTAATGGGATTTTTCTAAGTGTACTCATGTGATGACCATAGTCGCACACAAACCTGAATGGCTGGTTCTCTACTTGGATTCCAGTATAAAGTCACATGTAATGCGTGTGATGCTCAGTTGAACCGTTGATGGATAAATGAACCCTGTAACTTCAGTCAAGATCAAACAAATAAGGGTAGCTTATCTTTATTATCAAAACACAATGCAGGAAATGGATGGATTTAAATCCTGCAGGCCGAGCATAGACTGGAAATTAAACAGCTCAGCAAATGTGCTTGTTTTTTATTTATTTAATAGTGCTATTCTTGAGCAAATAATTTATTATTTCAATTCTACTCATGTGCTAGTATGTGTATAAGAGCATATGTGTGGCCATATTTATGAATAATTATTAATTATTACTATATATATATATATATATATATATATATATATATATATATATATATATATATATATATATATATAAAATTTATTTTTTTATTTTTTTAAAAAGACGGGGGGGGTGTAATCTGAGAGAAGAACAAAATTTTAGGAGGTTGAAAACTAGGAGAACTTTCAAAAGTGTGTGTATGTCTGTCTGTGGTGTGAAATTATGAAACAGTCTAGATCAGGGGTCACCAATCCTAGTCCTGGAGGGCCGGTGTCCTTGCAGGGTTTAGCTCCATCTTGCCTCAACACACCTGCCTGGATGTTTCAAGTATACCTAGTAAGACCTTGATTAGCTTGTTCAGGTGTGTTTGATTAGAGTTGGAGCTTAAATCTGCAGGACACCGGCCCTCCAGGAACAAGTTTGGTGATCGCTGGTCTAGATCATACTCTCAAACAATGTCGGTATTAATAATCAATTTAAAAAGTTGTGTAAATATATATCATTAAAGGAATATAAATGATGAAGGTGATTGAAAATGGAAAAAATGAGAAAGGTATGAGGAATTTTTAATTAATGCCTATTTGCAGAACTATTTTGCAGTTTTTTTTATTTATTTATTTCTTTTTATTAGAAAATGTAAAAGTACAAATGGAATCAAACATATAATTTATTAAAGATGCCAAAAGAATAAAATATGTCTCATGTAAAAAGAAGAGATAAGTTAAAGAGGAAATAAGTTTCATATACTTCTAGACGAATGATGTATGTGGTTATGGGGTGGGAAAATAATAAGTTGTGCTTCATCCAACTCCATTTTCGACCATGTTGAAATGTATTTTTTGTTAATGATATTTTATGCACGATATTTCTGTTTGAAAATAAATCAAATCAATGAATTGTATTTAATAATTAGTTAAAATGTAAGCCATATATTATAATAGTGATTTTATATTATGTTTATGTGATATTATTATTGATAACATTTTTAAATTGTATAAAAATCGCTTCATTGGCATTGCATTGTCATTGAAATGCTGCTGTGTTTTTTATAATTAATGCAGCCCGGATTATATTTATGATTTCAGTTTTTAAAAGTAATGATTGAGATTTAGTAATTTTGTAAAATTGTGTATTTTAAGAGGCTTTTTATATCTATGTAGTTTTAATAATTCAGCTGGTGAGTGCCAGCACATTCATATCATGTACCATTAACAAAGCCCGACCCCCTTCTCTGTTTACAAATACAAGTGCAGCCGTTTAGAGGTCATTTCTGGTTATGATGTCAGAATTTATGGGTATTTTGGAATGGATGTGTGAATGGTTTCCTCTGGAAAAATTCCAGAACGTTCTTGACTGTGTGAAAAGTGCTATATTTAATTAACCAGGAAAGTCGTTCTGGTAATTTTCTGGATATTTATGGGTATTACTGTCTGAAAGGGGATAATGGCTACCTGTGTCCAGCATTCTTCAAAATAACTTCTTTTGTGCTGGTTAGAAGGAGAGTAAATGAGAGAATTTGTTTTGTTGCGTGAACTATCCCTTTAACCTTACTGAAGTGTACATTAAATCTCTAAACATAAACACACACACACACACACACACCAAAATCTTAAAAACTCATGTTAAAGTTCAACAAGGTTAATAAAACTCTTGTGTGTTCTGCAGAATACCTCTCGCCGCTGGAGCAGCAGAAGGGATGGCGCCACCTAGGGGGCGAGATAGCCACGTCCTAAACCTCCTCTCCAGATGCCCTGTGGGAAACAGCATCAGTCACACTAGAGCAGACCACCATAACACGCAGACCACCCAGACAAACGTGTGCCTTTCCGATGCGGAGCGCTCCATAAGCCAACGCAGACACACAAAGCACCGCTGCGGGAGACGCTTCACCCCCACATCCAGAGCACCAGTGGGTCATCCCATCAGTAGAGACTCGCATTTAAACATGTCAGGAACCACACAGACCAGATCTTCCATGAAGGAGAGCGGCTCTTCTGTAAGTCTACTGGCTGGAGAGTTTTGGAGAGCGTTAGAGAACGTAGAGCTGTTTTCAGGGCAGCGGAGGAATAAATGACCACTTTGTGATTCGGATTGACATCACGGTTTAAAAAAATCAGTATATAAGAAAGGAGAGACGTCATGCCTTAACAAAAAAAAAAAGCTCATTAAATTATGTAGCAAGGTTTCCATACAGACAGTTAGTATGGGATCATTCTGAAATAATGGAGTTATTGCTAGATTTTTATTTTATTTCTAGTTACTGAGGAGTGAACGCATCTGGCAGCAGAGAAATGGGAAATGTGTGTGTGTGTGTTTGTGTTATTAAAAAGGATGCATGGACGGGTGTTAAAGGGTTAACCTAAAAATGATCTAGAACAGTCTGTCATTTATTCATCCTCATGGCATTTTTCAGCCTTTTTTTAATCAAACTTGAGAGATTTCTGTCCTCTTTTTCAACCTAAATTTGTTTTAAAATGTTTATTGAAGGATCGTTTACCCAAAAATGAAACTTCTGTCGTAATTCACACACTCTTTACTTGTCACACATCTGTTTGAGTTTTTTGAAAAATGATGAAAACCTGTAACCATTGACTTTCAAAGTAAGACAAACAAATACCATGGAAGCCAATGGTTACAGTTTTCTAACAATTTTTTTAAATGTCTTTTAAAAATGTTGAAAACCTGTAACAACTGGTTTCCATAGGATTTGTTTTTCTTACTATGGAGGTTGATGGGTACAGGTTTCTAACATTTTTCAAATTATCTTTAAAAAAATGTAAAAACCTGTTCCCATTGGCTTCCATGGGTTTGTTTTTCTTACCATGGAGGTCAATGGTTACAGATTTTTAACATTTTTCTTAATATCTTTAAAAAAATAATAAAACTTGTAACCAGAGGCTTGTATAGGATTGTTTTTCTTCCTATGGAAGTTGATAGTTACTGGTTTCTAACATTCTTCAAAATATATTATAAAGATTTTGAAAATCTATTACCATTGACTTCTGTGGTATTTGTTTTTCTTACTATGGAATTTGATAGTTAAGGATTTCTAACATTTTTTTTTAATATTTTTACAAAAAAATTGCAAACATGTAACCATTGGCTTCCATAGTATTTTTATTTTTATTTTAAAAGTCGATGGTTACAGATTTCTAGCATTTTTCAATATATCTTTTTGAAAACCTGTAACCATTGGCTTCTATAGGATTTGTTTTTCTTACTATGGAAGTCAATGGTTACAGAATTCTAAAATTTCTTTAAAAATATTGTTACAAAAAAATTGAAAACCAGTAACCATTGGCTTCCATAGTATTTTTAATTTTCTTTCTATAAAAGTTGATGGTTTCAGATTTCTAACATTCTTCAAAATATATTATAAATATTTTGAAAACCTGTAACCATTGGCTTCCATGGGATTTATTTTTCTTTCGATGGTTACAGATTTCTAACATTTTTCAAAATAGCTTTTAAAAATTTGGAAAACTTGCAACCATTGTCCTTCATAGTAATTGTTTTTTCTTACTATGGTTGTCAATGGTTACTGGTTTTTAGCATTTTTCAAAATATCTTTTTTTGTGTTCGACAGAAAAAGGAAATGTTTTGAACCACTTGAGGGTGAGAAAAATGTGGGTAAATGTTCATTTTTTTGTTTGAACTATCCCTTTAAGAGATTTGTATTCAGTTTATATGATATACATATAAAATGCTTATTTTTTATTTAAGAACATTTCAAACGGTTAGAGTTGGGTGAATAGACTATATGTGTTTTATTACGCAGAAAATTTATTACATTTTTTTAAACAAGAATGAGAAAACTTTTTACTTTTTTATGCCCGAGAGTTCAAACTAGAACTAAACCAACATTATTAGATAACCACATAAAGCCTTTGAGAGGAATAAGAAGAAACTGAAACATATATAAGACAGACATATATATACATACATAGTCTGCTTAGTTTTGTTTATAAACAAATGTGAACAGACAAGCAAAAACAACCAAGTAGTACCAAACAAGATAAGGACTCACCCCCCAAAAAACTCAGAAACTAATGAGGTCAATGAAGGTTAGAGATTGACAGAAACTTCTCCTGTTAGATTTTCTTTACTATTGTTTTTATTGCTTCAGAGGGACTTGAGAGTGAATAAATGATGAGGATTTTCAAGTTTAAGATGGAGTGAAAAATATTTAAAGGGTTAGTTCACACAAAAACGAGAATTCACTCGCCATTTAGTTCATTTAAATCTGTCAAACACAAAAGAAGATATTTTGAAGAATGTTGGAAAGCAGTAAACATTGACACTCATAGTAGGGAAGAACTATATTTGGAGGCTTTAACTACTACGTACTCTCATCAAAAAATAAATATAATGTTCTTACTGTGTTCATAATGTATTGCAGAACACTTGGGATACGGGTAGGGTTAGGAATAGGTTTAATAGTGTTGGTAGGTTTAATCAATCATAAAGACATGTGTTTACGCATTAAGTTCATTGTAACAAATTATTTATTTTAGTGTAAGTACATATTAGCTAAACCCACTTCATATAAATATAAACATGGAATTCAGTGGCTACTATTTACCAACATTCTTCAAAATATCTTCTTTTGTGCTCAACAGATGATAGAGGGAGAGTAAATGACAGAATGTGGATTTTTAGCTGAACTGTCTGTTTAAGTGTACTGTGCACATGTGACCTGTAGGGGGCCCCAGTATCAAACACACAGCAGCTGCGCTCAGGATGTGGCTCTCTTTATCTGATGGTCTCAGAGGGAACATCACAAAGTTTGTTTCACTCTTATTTATTTTTCAAGACTGCTGAGGCTTCCTTTACTTACTCCTAGAGAAAGAGCCGCACCGCAGCGTACCTGCCGACAGGAGCTACAAAGAGAAAGAAAAAGATGGAAAATAGTGCAGTCTTGATAGTTTAAATAATTCTCTTATATGATTTCAAGAACATTTCAGAGGCAGAAAAAAAAACAATTGGTTTCAAGTTAAAGCGATAGTTCACTCAAACCTTCTGTTGAGCACAAAAGAAGATACTTTGAAGAATGCTGGAAACCAGTAACCATTGACTTCCATAATAAGAAATACACATACTATGCAGGCCAATGGTTACAGACTTTCCAAATTTGTAAAAGATATTTTGAAAAATGTTTAAAAAATCTGTAACCATTGACCTCCATAGTAAGAAAAGCAAACTCTATGGAAGCCAAAGGGTACAGGTTTTCACTTTGTTTGTTTGTTTTTTACGATATTTAAAAAAATGTTAAAACATGTAACCAATTTCCATAGTAAGAAAAATGCATACAATGGAAGCCAATGGTTACAGTTTTTCCAAATTTGTAAAAAATACTTTAAATAATGTTGAAAGCCTGTAACCATTGACTTCCATAGTAAAAAAAAAAATCAATCCTATGGAAGCCAATAGTTACAGGTTTTTAACATTTGTAAAATACATTTTATAAAAATGTTAAAAACCTGTAACCATTGACTTTCATGGTAAGAAAAACAAATCCTATGGAAGCCAATGGTTACAGGTTTTCAATATTTTTAAAAGGTTATGAAAAATGTTAGAAACCTGTAACCATTGACCCCTATAGTAAGAAAGACAAACTATGGAAACCAATGGGTACAGGTTTTAAATTTATTAACAATACTTTTTGAAAATCTTAGAAACCTGTAACCATCAATTTCCATAGTGAGAAAAAATGTATATTATGAAAGCAAATGGTTAGAGTTTTTCCAAATTTGTAAAAGATATTTAGAAAATGTGTAAAAAAAAAAAAAAAAAAAAAAACTGCAACCATTGACCTCCATAGTAAGAAAAACAATCCCACGAAAGCCAATGGTTACAGGTTTTTACGATTTTTAAAAATATATTTAGAAAAATGTTAGAAACCTGTAACCTCCATAGTAAGAAAAACGCACACTATGGAAGCCAATGGTTACAGGTTTTTCCTACAATTGATGTCAATGTTTCATCTTTCTGCAAAACATTCTATTTAGTGTTCAACAGAAGAAACTCGAAGGTTTAAAACCAGCAAAGTGAGTAAATTTTCGTTTTGGGGGAGCTGAACTATCCCTTTAATTAACAGATCCTTCCGCGTGTTTAAATAGAGCCATTTTAATGCGCAACTACAGGTTAAATTGTTTATAAAAATATTCAGAAGGAACGACAACCGGCCCTCAAAACATGCAAAAACTTCATACATTTCTTAAGACATGCATGTTTGGTGCACTTCAGAAGCTTTCACCGTTCCATTCCAGCACAATACTGAGATAAATCCGCTTATCCTCGTCCAAATGCTTAAACCACCTTGGCTAAAGATACCCTGATCAATAAGTGTGTGTGTGTGCGCGCGCGCGTGTGTTTTCTCCATTAAATTGCTCTCTGGTTAGAGTAAAGCCTCCTGTCACAGTAGCATCTGTGGTCGACGAATATTTACAAGAACTTAATTTAGTGTCTTCAGTCCTGATTATTTCCGTGTTTGAGTTCCGCCAGTTTATCAATGTGAATGAAGTAAAAACTAAACAAGGCTTGTGTTTTACGGTCGTGTTATTTGTCCTTTCGTCAGGAGTGCGCAGGTGCGACTCTTTTTGTATTGTTCAGATGACATTGAGAGTGTTTCACCTCGTAATGTTCACCAGCGCTATGAAATATTAATCGTTTGGTCAGTGTTTCTTATTTGTGTCAAAAAAAAGAGTTAAGAATATGAATGTACCAGAATGTATTTATAACATGGATTATTATTTTTTGTCATCATAACTTGAACCATTTAAGATACTTAA